GAATCCTGCTTGCTGCTCTCGAATCAGCATATCACGAGCCACCGTAAAGCGACGAAGGTCAATCAACTCCAACAATTCTGATACGACCGGGATTAAGCTGATACCCCTGTGGATACCACACTCACCACGCGCCCATTTTCTGAAAACGGGCACTATCACTTATTTTCCCCAGTTATCTGGGACAGACGCCGTTTCCAAAATGCAAGAAAACAGATCTGACAAGCGCTGACTTAGGACTTTAACCCGTCTTTGACCAGTGTGGGTGGGAGGTCATTTGGACCAAGAGCTCAGTGGTGCTTGAGAGAAAATATGCAGTCGTAAACCTCCGAAGTTTGCTTGCTTAGCCATATAATAAAGAATTCTACGTTATTCTGAGCCCGATTTTCGCTCAAGTGACTGCCGTGGAGAATTGGACACTTTCGTCCACCTGCATCCTGTACGTAAATCAATTCAAATTCCAAACTGTCACTTTTCATGAGGACAAATTTCAGCCTATCGAACTGCTGGTGTATTTCAAACTCTTCTAGGCATTCGAGTCCAGTCCTTCTCTTGATCTAAGTCGAGTCTTCATTTCAGTCAACACAAATCACATTATTGCTCAGCGCACTGGTTCTCATTCCAGGTACTGTGTGTCACCAACCCATTAATGTCAGTGGACAATTTTAGCAAACCTGAGCAATTCGTGTTCCGCGTTTCCCCAGTGTATTCCCGGATTTTGAGAGATTATCAGAAAGTGCACGGTGCTTATGTGACCCGTCGATAGACATTTGGCAGTCAGCTCGATGACCCAAACGACAATGAGGTGCGGCTCATGACTCCGTCGAAGGACATAAAGCAGTCGATTTTCGCTCCACCCTATCATCCTAATGAGCTTTCTGTGAGGATTGATACGGGCATAAAACATATGCTTCACAAACGAGTATCCGTTTGTTGTTTAGGACTGCCTTTTCTCAAAAGTTTTATTTGGTGTCTGGGGCATAATGACATCTCCCTAACTGTTTCACCTACCAGCTAGTCGGGAGAGGACCTCATTGGACGAAAACCAACACCGTGCTTTTCATCCTCCCCGTGATAGATAAACTTAGGTTACACGCTCCATTACGATATGACCATCGCA